CGTAGTGGATTCTATCCAGAATTGTGGCAGAGATACTATACGTCTAGAACTAAGCAAAATAAATAAAACCAGGCATAATCATCAAAGATTAGTAGACAAAGCTCTAGAGAGAGCTTAAAAGGCCTAAGATTGAACTATTTAAAGCAGAACTTATGCATTCAATAGATGTGGTTTCAACGCAAAGACACCGGCTTGGATGCATAAAGTTGAGCATCAAAAGAGGTGATTAACTAGAGCAGCAAATATTTTAATTTTTAATTTACATAAATTGGCAGAAGATAAAAACTTTAGGGGGGGGGGGGCGGGGGGGAATAAATTAGCATGACATCAATAAAGAAAGATAGAAAGAAAGAAATATGCACTAATAAATGAAACTTTGCAGTGCTCAGCTTTTGGAAGATTTTTTCCCCCTGAGCAGTAATAGAGAAAAAGCAAGAAAAAAGGGGAAATATAAAGGATATCTTTCTGCCCATAAAGAAAATCAAACGAAAGCTTATCATGGAGTTCAAGACACAACTTTGAGCAGAAAAAGTGATGAAAAAATGAGAGATTTTTCAATATAAAAAAACTATAGTAGTAAGAAAGAAAAATTCAACAGCCCTTATTTGAACTAAAAACTATAGAATAGTTTTCTATTTCAAGAAAAATTAGCTCTACTGAGAAAGAAACTCATATTAACGAAGAGTCCAAAATTTCAAAATAAATGTTATGGTAATCCATCCTTTTTCTCAAAAAAATCAAAATAAATGTAAAGGTCAGACCCCAAATTTGCAAAAACTTCAAGACTTGGTGGTCAAAGGAGGAAAATTTTAGACCAAATCGAAATTCGCAGAAAAACCCATTTCCAGAAACCCTCAAAACCCTACCCCTAGAAAATTCTCACCAAATTACATGCCAGAGAGAAGAGAATCTCGCTTCACTATACCATACCGAAGTCAAAAGTTTTCACCTTTGTAACCAAATCAGAAATCCAAGAAAAACCCATTTCCAAAAAAAACCCTCAAAACCCTAAAACTCAAACTAATTACGGTTATAAAGAAACCCCAACTTTCGACAAATTCCAACACAATCACGGGCGAAGAGGAAGAGAAAAATCTCACCTAGCAACCGCATCAACATCAACAACATTCTCCCCAAACGAAGCCTCAGCCTCCTCTCCTTCCCCTAGCCTAGGGTAAGGGCTAGGGTTAGAGCTCGACTTCCCATTCTTCGATCTAGGGCTAGGGTTAGGGCTCTCCTTGAACGCCGCCTTCGACGTGGGTTTCTCAAGGCGGCGGCTTCGAAGCTCGAGATAACAAGAGGAGGAAGAATCCTGAAGGCGCCGGAGAGCTAGGGTTCTAGCTCTCGTCCGAACTCCGACGGTGGATTGCTGGCTG